AAAACTCCAAATGGAGCTAAGCCTGGATGTGCACCCTGAGCTTCATCTTATTACAGAAAACCCCAATGGCCTCGAAGGAGGAGGCAAATGATCTGAGAACAGGTGTGCTTGGCATTATGTGAGCTGTGCCAGCTATTTTTCAGCACCTACTGTGATAAACCCTATCACAGACACCTGGGAGAGGTAATAAAAGCTCATTTTATAAACTGGATTTGACACTAAGTTCTGTTTATTTGCTTTGTGCAGTGATACCACAGCGAAACGCAGTAGAAGAATGTGAATAAAACACAGCTCAGTCCCTCTAGGCACATGTAATTAATTCATGGCAAAATCTGTCAATTTAATCCATTACTACTGAAAAGGATCAAAGTCCCATTTTCCTGTGGACAACCTGTGTTCGGAGAGACTCTAGTCAAGATGAAGAATGTAGAAATGAGTGTTTTTATCCTCCTGTCTGCAGGGGGAAAAGGGAGTAGTGGGCTGATTAAAAGCTCTTCTACCTGAGGAGGCCATTGCAGCATAAGCTGAGCTTGTGAGCACCAAAATCTGTACTCATCTCCTTGCAAGGACAGTCATGTTCTGCTCTAAGCACATCTTTGGGCGGCTGCTGCCAAATTTATTCAGCACTTGGAAGGTAGCATGAAGGCATGTGCATGGAGAATGAGAGGAGAAGACTCATTCTGTGTCACTGTCCCATCCTGCTTTCCTAGCTTGACGTACAGAGGACATGCATTTCTTTATTGTGGGATGGCCTCTTGATTGATGGAGATGTTTGCAGGAGGGACAATCAGACCCAGGAAGTGGGAAATGCTTCTGCTTTCCACTATATGGACATTGATGCAATGGGGACTGGCTTGCTCCGTGCTGATTAAGAGATTTGGAAGGACGTCTGGGAGCTGGGTTCAACTAGTGCCCTAAAGGGGACATAAGAAAGGTTGCAGGACCTCTCTGCTGCTGTGAGACACATTGGGTAGCACATCTCCATAACCCACATCATCTGCTGAAAGTGAGACCCTCCACTCAGCCCACTCTCACACCCCTGAAAGACTCCCACAAGTCATGCAAACATGGGCCTTGATTTAGTTTGCCAGGAATGTACTGGACATTTTGCCATGTCTGGGCATGACTCAGCTGATTAGAAGAAATACAATTTAATGAATTACTAAGTTAATAGTTCCTCTCGACTTCTGATCTACTAAATATTGCAACCACATTGAATTCAGGTGTGTGATGAGATGGTGAATGCACATGCACAACCACAGGTACCCACAGGGCTGCTCTCACCAAGGAGGGGACCTAGGATCCAAGTCACAGCTACAGAAAAGAGGTTGAACCAGTTTCCTACCAAAGAGACCAATGTTTGCTAGTCCCACTCACGTGCAGAATGATGTAACAGTCCCCTTCAAAAAAAGTCCCATAAGCCTTCTCAGGTACAGGAACCATCTTCATATTCTGTAAGGGAATGAAGGTTTGGGTCATTGCTACAACTTCAGAACCAGAAGCTGGTGGGTGTGAATCAGGACAGCTGGGGTGCATGACACCTTAAGGTGACAATCAGAGTTTGGAGAAGGAAGAATCAGGACTGTGCTTGAGAGCTGGGAAAAGCTGCTTCTGGGGGAAATCCCAAAAGCATTGAGAGGCAAATGGCATTTTTTGTAGTTTCCTTGCTCTTCTGCAATCCTGCAGGTCTAGAGCAAGAAGACCTGGGGGTCAGGCTGACCCAGGGGAGTGAGCACATCTCATCCTAGGTTTAGTTTTGGGGCATGGTTTTTACTCAGTGCCCATAAGCTGAGTGATAACTTTGTTAGGAAAACCACTTTGCCAGTGATTCACAGCAACTTGTAGCAAGTGCATGGTTTTTACTCAGTGCCCATAAGCTGAGTGACAACTTTGTTAGGAAAACCACTTTGCCAGTGACTCACAGCAACTTGTAGCAAGTGCTGAGCAAAGACAGACTTGAGGACACCGACGTATCCTTCACTGCTCCCAACCCTGAATGCACACTTCATCTGGTGCAAGTGCACAATTAACCAGACATGCCTGCCCAGAGTAGGTGCCTGGGTGCACGTGGGCTGCACAAGCAGCTCCTGGGCTTGAACTGGCTCTGTAGTTTCCTGGAATTAGACACACATTCTTCTGGTGGCCTGACTCGTTTCCCAGCATACCAGCCTGACCTGGGTGAACCCACACAGCTCTAATTACAGATCCTTTGGAAAGAGCTTAGTATAGTGCTTTGGAGAGAAAAGGAAAGACAAAGACCTTGTGATATTTGGAACAGAGCTGGGCCCTGTAGGGAGCCACCACCACTCAGGTACACGTTTTGGAGCCCCTTCCTACTGCTCCCCTGGGTGGGCTCTGGACCTCATTCTAAGCCCCCTCTCATTGCAAGGCAATATTCTTGGTGAATTGGGCCAGAAGAAGGCAAAATTGAGCACAACCTGGCTCCAAACCAGAAGAAAATACCACTGCAAGCAGAAGGTGGCCTTGCAAGATGCAGTAGCTCTCTCTTCAGTGACCCATTGATCAGAGTGGGAAAAATAAGTGTGAAGTGCAAATAGACCCCCTGGGCTGCCTTTGCTGCAAAAATGGGTGCCCATCCCATGGCAGCTGCTGGTGTGGACTGAGGTTACCTACACATAACCCCTCTTCTTGGTCAAACAGGTAACTAACTTCTGGTGTGCTAATGAAGCCTTGTGTTGGCTCCCGAAGGGGAAGGGGGGGAAAAATCCTCCAGTGTTGGAGAAACAGCTTCAGTCCCATCACACTCATGTTTCCTTAGTCAATATTATCCCTGCTTTATAGAGCAGGAAACTAAAGCAATAACATTGGAAGTTGCACAGGGAGAAGCTGGGTCTCCTGTTTCCCACTGCCTCTTATTTGTACCTCCTTATTTGTACCTTTTCCCACCTAGCTTACTTCAGGAATATCTCGTTCTTGAAACACACGCACACGCACATTTTCCCACCTAGCTTACTTCAGGAATATCTCATTCCTGAAACACACGCACACACACGTGGAGAGGACATCTGCCATCATTGTCTCTTGTCATACCTCTATGCTCCATATCTGCAGTCCCAGCTTTCTCTCAATAGTTGGGAGGTTTGTGTCACTGTCTGTCATCCTGCAGGCTGAGCTGGAAGGAAAAGGAAGACATAAAACCAACCATTTAATTGGATACACCAGTAAGTGCACTGGCCAGCTGGGTTCCTCTCACCATCAGAGGAGGTTTAATACAGATAATCCACACCCTGACGTGTCTCTGTCTCTCTGCTGACTATGAAGAGAGCAGAGCTGTAGTTATCAACAGTTTGGTGGGATGAATCCCCATTCCCAGGATATCCATGCTCATGGGGGACCAAGCAAAGTGTGGGATCACAGACAGAAAAGACTGGGTTGGATACTGTTGTTCTGGTATGGAACTGGTTTTCCCTTATTTAAAGAGATGAAAAGGATTTGCTGGGGTGTTGGACTGGACATCAGGGCTGCTCTGTTCCCACCATGGCACAAGGGGTGGAAGGGACAATGGTGGAGCTCTGGGAGACCAATGCCTCCAGGAACAGCCACAGGATGTCAGGAATGAAGCCCTTCCACTTCAGGAGGAGATTGAGATCTAAATAAAAGCACCTGCAAGGTATCTCAGGGCAGGGCACCAGCCTCTCAGCTCCATAAAGGTCAATGAACACACAGCCAGCTCACTCAGCAGAGCATGTGGAGTCATCCAACTGATGACCCTGATGTCTACTTTACACATAGGTGAGCAGCTCACCAGGCTCTGCTACCTCTGTGGGGAAGAGGTAGATTTCAGTTGCCCACACAAAAGTGCATTTGAGATGTTTTTGGCATCTCCAGCTGCCCTTCTGTTGGGTGAAGATCTGCCATCCACCTTCTATCCTACCTACCAGCTGGCAAAAGAAAAAAGGACTGTGCTTAGCCATATTCCCTGCTTGGATAGTTGAGGTTTTGCTGAAAAAGCAACTTCTGAACCCAGATTTTTTTACAGGGAAATATCCTGAAGCAAATCAACCCCCAAACCAATGTATATCAAAACATGGGGTTATGTTCCAGCAGCGCTGGCTGGCCCATGGGGCATGGGCAGGTGCCTCCTGAGTAGCTCAGCTCTTATGGGAAGGCCACAGGACAGACTGTGTTTGTGGAGGGCCCAGACCCACGTCAGCTGTTGCTGGATGAGTCAGTCCTGCTCACAAACCAAAGCCCAGCTTGGAGAGAAGACACAGCTCGTGGATTCTTGCACCCTGCACGGATTCACTTGGCTAGGTCGCTCCGCTGACTGGCACTGGCCCATGGCAGGCTGAACAACTGCTCTGTGTTCAACAACAACAACAGCTCGACTGCCTGCCTTTTCTTCTCTGTCTCTAGATGAAAAGGCTGCTCTGGTTGCAGCCTGTGGCCTCTCGTGAGCTCCTCTGCTCAGCTGTAGGAAACCACCTATGAGAAGGAACGGAGCCGTGCCTGCCTCAACTCCACACAGAAACTGAGTCACAGGAAGAGGAAAAAAATATGAGAAGCCAGAGCACAAACCCATGGAATAATCTCCTTCTGAGGGAGGAAAGAACAAAGCCAGGTGATCCTTTGCCAGAAGGCATGTTCATTGCTCATGTTGTAAGAGAGAGACAAGCTGCACTTTGCACCATGAACTCATAAGAAGCGATGGTCCTTCTCCTGAAGTGTCTGCACACTGTGCCAGAGCACAAAAATTGCTGTTCTAGGCAAGGCTGTTGGTCCATCCAGATCTCCTACGGCCCAGAGCTGCCAGATCTTGGCTCCTTGCACAGGCAGCAGAGAGAAGTAGGTACCTCCAGGGGTGGTTTGAGCACAGCCCCAACACCTCTCTGGTATCTGAGCAGGCACCCGCAGCCTGGCAGCCCTGGGCAGCAGGAGTCAAGATGTGCTCACACCTTCTTGAACCTCTGGAAGACTGAGTCCATGTGGTTTCATGCACCTACTAGGAATGCATTCAGCAACCTTCACCTCCCTCTCAGGTCCTCCAGATAGCTTTTAGGCAAGAAGACAAACAATGGAGAGAAAAACATGCATTTCTTCATCTCAGTTCCCAGAAAGGTGATTGAGACCCACACAGATTAAAAGCTGGATCCAGGAAGGTATTTCAGTGTCTACAGAGGGGCTAGAAACTTTTCTGCATGGGGTCCTGATTCACCTACTGTTAAGTCCATGGCCAGCAGGAACTGAAGGAAAAAGCATGATCTCAGTTCAGATCTTTAACCAGAAGACCTTTTCTTTCTTTTTAATATGACATTTGAAAAGTCCCTGTCAAAGAAAAAAAAACAAACTAAGCCTTTTCCCTCAGCTATCTTCTTAATTTATTAGGGTTTTTCCTTCCAGCATCAAAACAGGAACAACGTGGAAATAAAGCCAACAAAGATGTTTGGATGTGTAGGAGAATTCAGGGAGTTGAAATTGTTTGGGTTTTTTTTACCAAAACTGACTCTGCTCCCTGTGGAAGGCAGCAGGCATTGTCCTCCCTGCTAACAGCACATGGAACCAGCAGCTGGCTGGCTGTGAGACACAGCTGGCTCCTTGCTTTTCCAGGCATCCCAGCCTCTCTGCTGGGAAAAGTTAACCCAAACGGTGCTGAGATTCCTCTGAGCACAAAGAGCCATGTAGGACAAAACCCTCCAAGAGCCAGCAAAACTCTCCTGATTCCCACCCCAACCTCTTGAGTCAGAACAGGGATCTTGGATCTCCTCCATTCCTGGGGTTCTTTTCTCCATCTGAAACCTGCCCCTTAGCTCCAGTCCCCCCTTTTCTTGGAAATGCTGTCCCTCCCTTCCTCCTTAGTCATTAAACTGGGGGGGTTGGTGAGAAGTACAGAGAAGTTTGGCTGTTTCTTTAGACTTTCTAGCTCCTTTCGGCTGGTGGCCAAGATAGAAATAATAGGAATATGACTTATATAATCAGACAGCTCATTTCATGAATGATTTAATGTGGGGTTTTAATCAGATGATCCCATAATTCAACTCTTGCCCAGACACAGTATTTTTTGGAGCAAAAACTTCCCATCTGTGCATGAAACCAGGAAGGGCAGAAACTTCTAATTGAAAAAGAGAAAAAGAAAAAAGAGACCTTAAGAGGCTTGGGTTCACCATGGGGTTTCAGCAGCTGTGTCTGGGTCAGTTCCTATCTCAATCAAACCAGTTTTGCCCAGCTAGGTGAAACACAAATTAGCAAGAAGCATGAGTCAACTGCCTCTGGGGCAGGAATTAACCAGAAAAAAACCCTGGCTATGAGGATGGACCTTTGCTTCCTGGTACAGACACAGCCCTGCCTGCAGAGCATGGAAAGAGGCACTAAAGGAGGTGTAGTTCTCTTCTCTGCTTCCACATTAGTAGCATGCAGCTATTCAGCTTCCACCCCCAGGGCCAGCTACCCTGTTTCCACAATTTCCAGGGACTCTCACACCCCTGCAAAGAAGAGACAAGTTCACACCATGAGTATGAACTGTGAGGTAGGAGCAGTGCGTGTTGGCCACTGCAGAGCAAAGGTAACTGCAGGCTTGAAGCTGCTCTGTTGGGTCATCACTACTTGGTTGGGAGAGGCCATGGGGCAATGGGCACAAACTGGAACACAGAGAGTTCCATATGAACATGAGGAAAAACTTCCTTACTGGGAGGGTGACAGAGCCCTGGGACAGGCTGCCCAGGGAGGCTGTGGAGTCTCCTTCTCTGGAGACATTCAAACCCACCTGGATGCAGCCCTGAGTGATGTGCTCCAGGGAATCCTGCTTTAGCAGGGGAGTTGGACTGGATGATCTCTGGAGGTCCCTCCCAACTCCAAGGATTCTGTGAGGGCAGAGGACCTGGAACCCAGATGTCAGTGGCTGGCACGTTAGCTGGATGTCACAGTGGGGACAACCTAGAGTATCCAAAACTAGAAGCAAACCCTTCTCTAACATGGTCTTGGTAATAAAGATTTCTAAATATCACCCCCTCTCCAACCAGCAGAGTGAGGGGGCAAAGCTTTGCCTTCAGGAAGGACTAGTGACCAACTGTCAAGGTCACTCCCAAGATTGGTTAACGAGTAACAGTTGGGGTGGAAGTGCCACCAATCACCATTTCATGTTGGTCAACCTGGTAGGCATTGAGAAAGCAGACCTAGCAGGACATTCCTTCAAGCAGACTGGGGCTGTTTGGGCGGGGAGGGAAAATAGGGGGTGAGGAGGGGGAAAGGAGATCATTTCCAACTCCCACAGCACGTTCTGAATTCAGCTTGATTTGGCTGGTCTGGGTTTTGGCGACACACTTGTTGGGCTGCAGTCACAGTCATAAAAAAAAACAACCCTCAGTGAAATGACTAATGCTCTGCACAGCTCCGGGAAAATAGGAAGCAGCTGTGGCTCCAGCCTTTCCAGGCTGAAAGGCCTAATTATTGGGAATACTTGGACTGGCATTAGATGAGGTAAACCAGGGCTGTTGAATTGGTTTCATTGTCTCCATTATAGTTAGGCATCTGGGCCCAAGTAGGTGCCATTTTTTGTCTGCAGAGAGGACAGCAATTAACTCCTGCTTTGCCCAGAGGAATGAAATGGAACGTTGAGTTGGACTGAGGTTCTTCAGCTGCTGCTTGGGAGTGTTGCTTTGAATGGTGACTGTCCCTAGTGAGTGACTGTCCAGAAGTACAGTACTCAACCAATCCAAGCTACCTTTTTATTTTCCTGCTGCAGGAGGAGAAAAAATGGCTTTTATCTCACATGGAAATGGTGGGTAGGGAGGTCCAGCAATGGGATGTGCCCTCTTTCTCATGACACGTGCTCCATCACATAATGTCTTCTAATTTTTTTGGTAGGAAATATCAAGGTGGGATAGGTGAGAGCACCTGTGACATGTGTTGGTGGGAGATTCTACCATCTTGCACAAACAGAAAAGCTGACCTGCATTGCCCATGTTGGATGTGCTGGGGTGTGGTGATGGGACAGGGATAAGTGGGACAGGCTTGTTAGGGGCTGGCAAAAGAGGAAGAAATGCAGCTCAGTTCACCCTCCTCCTGTGAGGTCCAGGTTCAAGACCTTGTTGAGGCTCATGTGCCACAGAGAGGGCCTGCACAGACATGCCTGGCTGGCCAGAGAGAGCTCTTCAGGCTTCTTGGAAAGAGCTGTTG